TCTCAATAGAATATTTCCCCTGAATATTACCTAATTTCATTATTGATTTATTTTAAGATTAATTACCCACATCAAACTAGTAGAATTTTCTTAGCTAGCATTTATGTGTTGATAGAATTTTCTTAGCTGGAGCTTATGCATGTGACCCATATAGGCTTAGTATTAAATTATTTATAGGACTTTAACCAATATAATTGATTTATTATGACTAAACACTTTTCATTCATCATCATGATTTATTTATCGCATCAATAAATTGGATGAACATACATGTCACTAAGAGTGTCATCTAATAAATATATCACAACTCTTACAATGTATAAAAATTTGATCATGAAATTTAGTAGTTTGTCTATGGATGCATAATTACCATATAGTTAATTCATTTCATTTATTGTATTTCAGATTAACTCAAGATATGACTTATACCAACCATTATTTAATTGAATAGTTGGTATATTTCTTATTGTACAAGAGATTGTACTTCCTTGTATGTTTTTAATTAAATGTTATTTATATTATTTTAAAATTAATGTGTGTATATTAGTTAATTAACCAACACAAGTATTTATTCAAAAATAGACTCATAATTGTCAATGTAAAAACTAACTCGCATAAATATGACATAATTGAAGGTATTCCCAAAGATGATCATGTTCTTATCAAAGCACAATTATGTGACTTTAATATCTTATTTTCTTACATTTAGATGTTACCTTTGTCTTGAGTTAATGAGTTAAAAATAAATTACTTAAAATATTTTCTCCTATTACAACTCTTAGAATAGCAGGTTGATTTCAACTTGAAAATAAAAATAAATGCATAGATAAAAAAATTATGTTATTATTGCACTCTTTAAAAGTACCACAACCCTACAATGAAAAGGAACATGACGAAAACCCAAATGCTAAGGCACCAGATATCTAACATAAATAAAATAAAATAAACTGCAAGTATTGTGTTTACAACTCTTTTTAATTTCATCCTTCCGAGACTTAGTCAAGAAATGAACCTAGTAGAATGTTATTTATCCATTTCCTTGAATATATATATTATATCTAACATAAATAAAATAAAACAAACTGCAAGTATTGTGTTTACAACTCTTTTTAATTTCATCCTTCCGAGACTTAGTCAAGAAATGAACCTAGTAGAATCTTATTTATCCATTTCCTTGAATATATATATTGGGGATTATTGTTGAACACATTAGGTATCGTGTTTGGATCGTTTAATACATGAGGCATCATGTTTAATTTGTTATGAATTATAATCATCTTAGCTTCTTTAGTAACTTTCTTCTTCAATTCCTCAAGAGATGTCTTTAAATGCTCAAGTTGTGAGAAACGCATTTCCTGTTTTGGACCCATCCACCAACACTTACTCTCACATATTTTTTGTATTTCCTTAAGCTCTGCATTGCGATTTTCTCGATTTCCAGTTGATTCATGACCTATTTTCATATGTTTCAAATAATAAGTACAATTCAGTATAAGTTTTAATCGAACAAAAGGAAGATCAAATAAGTATAATAAGTTTTAAAATCTAAATATGGTCTACTCAAACTTGTGTGAGGATCATATTGAGCTCATGTATCCTTGAGTTGCGGTGAACCTCAATGAGTGTCATGGCTCTTGAAGTATCTCGTGGAGGATTACCACAAATGAAATCTTCAATCACTTTTTCAACACAAGGATGACCAAAAGAAAAAGCCTTTTTACTGGGGGAAAAAATAATAATTGCAATGTCGAGGCCACGAAGAGTGGACCATTCACTAGCTTTCTTAGAAAGACTAGCTCTTCGTTTTGAGAAAGTTATTTGGAAGTTGATTTCGTTACTCATCTTTATCATCTCAATCTTTTGACGACCCTTGCTCTTCCTATCCATCTAAAAGTGAAAGAAAAAGATGATGTGAGAAGGAGATAAAAAAGTTGGCTTATAATTTACTAGGAAGTGATAAAAAATGGGTAGTATTTATAAGAGTTATCAGACTGACATTATTATTTTCCACAATGCAACATCAAACATTATTTAAATGGATTTTCTATATAAAATTTTTTAATCTTTAATTACTTACTCATTGGGATTCATCAAATTGGAAAATTTTATTTTGTACTATCCAACAAATAATTTTATTTATAAATTTATTAGCTTTAATTACTTATTCATTTGGAGTCAACAGATTAGACATTATCATTTTGCACTATCGAATATATAACTTGATTTAGATTAATTTTCTATATAAATT